CGTCCTAGTCGGCTCCGTCTGCTGTCTTCCTTGCTCACGGCACCCCGCTGGTGTCTGTCTTTCACTTGCCGTTCATGTTAGTCTTTCTGCCTCCTCCTCCTCCTCCTCCTCCTCCTCCTCCTCCTCCTCCTCCTCCTCCTCCTCCTCCTGCTACTACTTCTACTACCTCCCACCTCCTACCGCCCGATCCTCTTCGCCTGCTCCTCCTCCTCCCCTTTCTTCCCTCTTCCTCCTCCCTGACTTCCCACAGGACGCGCTCGTTTGCCGCCCATCCCTTCCGCACCAACCTCATCATGTACATCCTCTGGCCGCTCTGCCTCCCCCTCCTCCTCGTTATCCGCCTCATCGGCCGCGTCTTCATCGCGGACAAGCACAAGCTCCTTCAGCATCGCATCGAGACCTGGGTCACCCCGGCCTTTGCCATGGAGTTCTTCTTCCGCAGCCAGTGGCCCCGCATCAACAGCTACATCGAGGACGCGATCATGTCGGCAGACGCGGCAGGCGTGAAGGTCTTCGGCCTCGGAGCTCTCAACAAGAACGAGGCGCTAAACGGAGGAGGCTCGCTCTTCGTCAAGAAGCATCCTGACCTCCGCCTCCGTCTCGTCCATGGCAACACGCTCACTGCCGCCGCCGTCCTCCACAAGATCCCCAGGGGAGTGGAGGAGGCGTTTGTGGTGGGAGCGACGTCCAAGTTGGGACGGGCGATCTCCCTGTACCTGGCGAGGAAGGGGGTCAAGGTCACGATGATGACGCAGTCACGCGAGAGGTTCGAGGGCATCAGGTCAGACTGCCCGGCCGCCTACAGGGGGAACTTGAAGCATTCGCTGAGCATCGAGGACGGGAGGAACTGCTCCTGCTGGGTCGTTGGGAGGTTCTTGACCCCCGCAGAGCAGAAGGTTCCTACCACTCCTCCTTCCTCTCCCTCTCGTCCTTCTTCCTCCCTCTCCATGCACTTGCTCTTCCCCAACTTCCTCCTCCCCCTCCCCCTACCCTCTCACTTCCCCCTCCTCCTCCTCCTCCCCCTCCTCCAGCCTCTGACCGGTCTTCAGGTCGCTCCCCGCGGCACGACCTTCCATCAGTTCGTCGTTCCTCCTCTCCCAGAGCTCCGCAAGGATTGCAGCTACACTTCCCTCCCCGCCTTCACTCTCCCCGACTCCGCCACCGGCTTTCGCAGCTGCGAGATGACGATGGAGCGAAGGAATGTGCATGCCTGCCATGCCGGGGCCCTCGTGCATCTGCTGGAGGGATGGACACACCATGAGGTGAGAGGAGGGGGGAGAAAGGGGAGGGGAGGGGAGGGGAGGGGAGGGGAGAGAGGTAGAGCACGCGAGAAGGGAAGAGGAGGGAGAGTGCTGGCAGTGTGGGATGGGCGGGAAGCGAGAAGCGAGAAGCGAGAAGCGAGGAGATTACTGAAGGGGGAGGAAGGGGAGGAGGAAGAGCTGAGCATGGCGGCAGGTGGGAGCGATCGATCCGGATCGGATCGACGTGACGTGGGAGGCGGCTGAGCGGCATGGCTTCCGTCTCGTACCGGACAAGAAAATTTGCTAGAAGACATGTACGATATCGTTTTTCACACACAGTAGTAGTAAGAGGAGGACAGAGAGGAGGAGGAGGAGGAGGAGGAGGAGGAGGAGGAGGAGCGGGAAGAGCTCTACCACGATTTATTGATTATTCATGTGCTGTCCTTCACGATGGGTAAAGCTCGTGTATCACGACTAGACTCTCAGTTCTTCCTCTTCTTCTTCTTCTCTCCTTCCCCTTCGACTGCTTCCCTCCCTGAAGTTCAGGTCACTCACACAACTTGCTGTCACCTCTCTTGCTCCCCTCCCCTCCCCTCTACTGCCCTCCCTCCCCTCTCCTCTTCCCTCTCTTCTTCCCTCTCCCTCTCGCTCCTCCTCACCTTAGCCGCCACGTCTCTTGCTCGCATTCCTCGCTTGTCCTTCGCTTCGGCATCACAACCCGCGCTGAAGGGCAAAGTAAGAAAACAACATCCCCTCCTCGTCCCCGTCTCCTCCTTCCCTGCTCTCCCCGCTGCTCTCCCCACTGCTCTCCCCTCGTCCTTCACTTACTCGAGCAAGATTTTCCTCATCTCAGGCCGTTGGAACTCATAAGCCCACCACAGAGGTCCTCGTCCGTCCTCAGCTCTCACGTGAACCTGTCCACTGTCAGTCTCCTCTAACCCCTCCTCCTCCTCTTCAGGTTTCCTACCACTGTCGGCGCCGCCTTCACGAGGGCTCGCATGGTCCTCACGTCGTTGTTTCGGATGATGGCCCACATCTGAGTCGTCAGCTCCGTGTTCTCCCAGCTCGCCGACGCCTTGCTCTTGGGTGCGTACGCTGCCAGGTACCTGCCCTTCTCTTCAGTCGCCTGCTCCTGCTCCTGCTCCTGCTCCTGCGCCTCCCTTTCCTCCTGAATGCCTTTCTCCTTACCCCTGCTCCTTCCCTTCCCACCTTCTTTTCCATCCTCCTCCTCCTCCTCTACCTGATGGTGGCATCCTCGTCTTCTTCACTGATCGCCTCTCCGTTCATTCTCGACATGTATTGTTTCTATGCTTTCAGTCAGCATCCGCAAAGCATATAGACCAATCCTCCTCCTCCTC